AGTCTTGTTGTGTCTGTCTGTAGTCTTGTTGTGTCTATAGTCTTGTTGTGTCTGTAGTCTTGTTGTGTCTGTCTGTAGTCTTGTTGTGTCTATAGTCTTGTTGTGTCTGTAGTCTTATTGTGTCTATAGTCTTGTTGTGTCTGTAGTCTTGTTGTGTCTATAGTCTTGTTGTGTCTATAGTCTTGTTGTGTCTATAGTCTTGTTGTGTCTATAGTCTTGTTGTGTCTATAGTCTTGTTGTGTCTATAGTCTTGTTGTGTCTATAGTCTTGTTGTGTCTATAGTCTTGTTGTGTCTGTAGTCTTGTTGTGTCTTAGTTGTTGTCTGTAGTCTTGTTGTGTCTATAGTCTTGTTGTGTCTATAGTCTTGTCTGTAGTCTTGTTGTGTCTTGTTGTGTCTATAGTCTTGTTGTCTTGTCTTGTGTGTCTGTCTGTAGTCTTGTTGTGTCTATAGTCTTGTTGTGTCTATAGTCTTGTTGTGTCTGTCTGTAGTCTTGTTGTGTCTATAGTCTTGTTGTGTCTATAGTCTTGTTGTGTCTGTCTGTAGTCTTGTTGTGTCTAGTCTTGTAGTCTTGTTGTGTCTGTCTGTAGTCTTGTTCTTGTTGTGTGTCTGTAGTCTTGTTGTGTCTGTCTATAGTCTTGTTGTGTCTATAGTCTTCTTGTTGTGTCCTATAGTCTTGTAGTGTCTGTCTGTATTGTTGTGTCTGTCTGTAGTCTTGTTGTGTCTATAGTCTTGTTGTGTCTATAGTCTTGTTGTGTCTATAGTCTTGTTGTGTCTGTCTGTAGTCTTGTTGTGTCTGTCTGTAGTCTTGTTGTGTCTGTCTGTAGTCTTGTTGTGTCTATAGTCTTGTTGTGTCTGTAGTCTTATTGTGTCTATAGTCTTGTTGTGTCTATAGTCTTGTTGTGTCTATAGTCTTGTTGTGTCTGTCTGTAGTCTTGTTGTGTCTGTCTGTAGTCTTGTTGTGTCTGTCTGTAGTCTTGTTGTGTCTGTCTGTAGTCTTGTTGTGTCTATAGTCTTGTTGTGTCTATAGTCTTGTTGTGTCTGTCTGTAGTCTTGTTGTGTCTGTCTGTAGTCTTGTTGTGTCTGTCTGTAGTCTTGTTGTGTCTGTCTGTAGTCTTTGTGTCCTGTCTATAGTCTTGTTGTGTCTATAGTCTTGTTGTGTCTGTCTATAGTCTTGTTGTGTCTGTCTGTAGTCTGTTGTTGTCTGTAGTCTTGTTGTGTCTGTATGTAGTCTTGTTGTGTCTGTCTTGTAGTGTCTATAGTCTTGTTGTGTCTGTCTGTAGTCTTGTTGTGTCTGTCTGTAGTCTTGTTGTGTCTGTCTGTAGTCTTGTTGTGTCTGTCTGTAGTCTTGTTGTGTCTGTCTGTAGTCTTGTTGTGTCTGTCTATAGTCTTGTTGTGTCTATAGTCTTGTAGTCTGTAGTCTTGTTGTGTCTGTATAGTCTTGTTGTGTCTGTCTGTATCTTGTTGTGTCTGTCTGTAGTCTTGTTGTGTCTATGTCCTTGTTGTGTCTGTGTCTAGTCTTGTTGTGTCTATAGTCTTGTTGTGTCTATAGTCTTGTTGTGTCTATAGTCTTGTTGTGTCTGTCTGTCTTTGTTGTCTCTAGTCTTGTTGTGTGTAGTCTATAGTCTATAGTCTTGTTGTGTCTATAGTCTTGTTGTGTCTGTAGTCTGTAGTCTTGTTGTGTCTATAGTCTTGTTGTGTCTGTAGTCTTGTTGTGTCTATAGTCTTGTTGTGTCTATAGTCTTGTTGTGTCTATAGTCTTGTTGTGTCTATGTCTGTTGTGTCTATAGTCTTGTTGTGTCTATAGTCTTGTGTCTATATAGTCTTGTTGTGTCTGTAGTCTTGTTGTGTCTGTAGTCTTTGTGTCTGTGTCTTGTTGTGTCTGTCTCTTGTTGTGTCTGTAGTCTTGTTGTGTCTATAGTCTTGTTGTGTCTGTCTTGTCTTGTTGTTGTTGTCTGTAGTCTTGTTGTGTCTGTAGTCTTGTTGTGTGTCTATAGTCTTGTTGTGTCTGTAGTCTTGTTGTGTGTCTATAGTCTTGTTGTGTCTATAGTCTTGTTGTGTCTATAGTCTTGTTGTGTCTATAGTCTTGTTGTGTCTATAGTCTTTGTGTCTATAGTCTTGTTGTCTATAGTCTTGTTGTGTCTGTAGTCTTGTTGTGTCTATAGTCTTGTTGTGTCTGTAGTCTTGTTGTGTCTATAGTCTTGTTGTGTCTATAGTCTTGTTGTGTCTATAGTCTTGTTGTGTCTATAGTCTTGTTGTGTCTATAGTCTTGTTGTGTCTGTAGTCTTGTTGTGTCTATAGTCTTGTTGTGTCTATAGTCTTGTTGTGTCTATAGTCTTGTTGTGTCTATAGTCTTGTTGTGTCTATAGTCTTGTTGTGTCTATAGTCTTGTTGTGTCTATAGTCTTGTTGTGTCTATAGTCTTGTTGTGTCTATAGTCTTGTTGTGTCTATAGTCTTGTAGTCTTGTTGTGTCTATAGTCTTGTTGTGTCTATAGTCTTGTTGTGTCTATAGTCTTGTTGTGTCTATAGTCTTGTTGTGTCTATAGTCTTGTTGTGTCTGTAGTCTTGTTGTGTCTATAGTCTTGTTGTGTCTATAGTCTATAGTCTTGTTGTGTGTCTATAGTCTTGTTGTGTCTATAGTCTTGTTGTGTCTATAGTCTTGTTGTGTCTATAGTCTTGTTGTGTCTATAGTCTTGTTGTGTCTATAGTCTTGTTGTGTCTATAGTCTTATTGTGTCTATAGTCTTGTTGTGTCTATAGTCTTGTTGTGTCTATAGTCTTGTTGTGTCTGTAGTCTTGTTGTGTCTGTTGTCTTGTTGTGTCTGTCTGTAGTCTTGTTGTGTCTATAGTCTTGTGTCTGTCTGTAGTCTTGTTGGGTCTATAGTCTTGTTGTGTCTGTCTGTAGTTTTGTTGTGTCTATAGTCTTGTTGTGTCTATAGTCTTGTTGTGTCTGTCTATAGTCTTGTTGTGTCTGTAGTCTTGTTGTGTCTATAGTTTTGTTGTGTCTGTCTGTAGTCTTGTTGTGTCTGTCTGTAGTCTTGTTGTGTTTATAGTCTTGTTGTGTCTGTAGTCTTATTGTGTCTATAGTCTTGTTGTGTCTGTAGTCTTGTTGTGTCTATAGTCTTGTTGTGTCTATAGTCTTGTTGTGTCTATAGTCTTGTTGTGTCTACAGTCTTGTTGTGTCTGTAGTCTTGTTGTGTCTGTAGTCTTATTGTGTCTGTAGTCTTGTTGTGTCTGTAGTCTTGTTGTGTCTGTAGTCTTGTTGTGTCTATAGTCTTGTTGTGTCTGTAGTCTTATTGTGTCTGTAGTCTTGTTGTGTCTATAGTCTTTTTGTGTCCATAGTCTTGTTGTGTCTATAGTCTTGTTGTGTCTGTCTGTAGTCTTGTTGTGTCTATAGTCTTGTTGTGTCTATAGTCTTGTTGTCTCTATTGTCTTGTTGTGTCTGTAGTCTTGTTGTGTCTATAGTCTTGTTGTGTCTATAGGCTTTGTTGTGTCTGTCTGTAGTCTTGTTGTGTCTATAGTCTTGTTGTGCCTATAGTCTTGTTGTGTCTATAGTCTTGTTGCGTCTGTCTGTAGTCTTGTTGTGTCTGTCTGTAGTCTTGTTGTGTCTATAGTCTTGTTGTGTCTGTAGTCTTATTTTTCTATAGTCTTGTTGTGTCTATAGTCTTGTTGTGTCTATAGTCTTGTTGTGTCTGTCTGTAGTCTTGTTGTGTCTGTCTGTAGTCTTGTTGTGTCTATAGTCTTGTTGTGTCTGTCTGTAGTCTTGTTGTGTCTATAGTATTGTCGTGTCTATAGTCTTGTTGTGTCTGTCTGTAGTCTTGTTGTGTCTGTCTGTAGTCTTGTTGTGTCTGTCTGTAGTCTTGTTGTGTCTATAGTCTTGTTGTGTCTGTCTGTAGTCTTGTTGTGTCTATAGTCTTGTTGTGTCTGTCTGTAGTCTTGTTGTGTCTATAGTCTTGTTGTGTCTATAGTCTTGTTGTGTCTGTTGTCTTGTTGTGTCTAAAGTCTTGTCGTCTATCGTCTTGTCGAGTCTGCAGTCTTATGATTGTGTTTCTAACCTTGTTATTGTGTCTGTAGTTTTGTTGAGTCTATCCTCTTGTCGAGTCTGTAGTCTTGTTTTTGTCAATTCTTTTCTTTCTTTCTTTCTTTCTTTCTTTCTTTCTTTCTTTCTTTCTTTCTTTCTTTCTTTCTTTCTTTCTTTCTTTCTTTCTTTCTTTCTTTCTTTCTTTCTTTCTTTCTTTCTTTCTTCTTTCTTTCTTTCTTTCTTTCTTTCTTCTTTCTTTCTTTCTTTTCTTTCTTTCTTTCTTTCTTTCTTTCTTTCTTTCTTTCTTTCTTTCTTTCTTTCTTTCTTTCTTTCTTTCTTTCTTTCTTTCTTTCTTTCTTTCTTTCTTTCTTTCTTTCTTTCTTTCTTTCTTTCTTTCTTTCTTTCTTTCTTTCTTTCTTTTCTTTCTTTCTTTCTTTCTTTCTTTCTTTCTTTCTTTTCTTTCTTTCTTTCTTTCTTTCTTTCTTTCTTTCTTTCTTTTCTTTCTTTCTTTCTTTCTTTCTTTCTTTTCTTTTTTTCTTTCTTTCTTTCTTTCTTTCTTTCTTTCTTTCTATATCTGTCTCTTTCTCTATCTGTCTCTTTTCCATCCTTAACCTATTGATCGCCTTTTTTAAAAAAATTCTTTATTCCAGAACCGTTATTAAATGTGGGCCATACATGGAGCTTAACGATATACACTAGAGATTTGTTTATGACCACCTGTGGAGTATGAAGTGCAGTATAGTCTGACCGCCAGTGATGATATCAGAAAATAGCCTTGTCCTCTAAATATGAGAAGTCATGTAACAAACAAATGGGAACAACCCAGCACTCCTGCAGGTCCAGGTAGATTTCTTGGCACCAGGTTGTGGGAGGCCAGGAAAAACCCTCCATCGTTCTCTTGTTTATAGGACTGATGTCAAAGAGACTAAAAATATTGATAGTTCTCACGTCAACAGTCTAGGTCAGCTCAGTGTGGAGCCAATGAAGTCTGCCAATTTCACCGAAACCTCAGTCAACTCATCCATGACCTCGTTCAGTTCTGATGGGGACGCAAAGGTGATTTATGGCTCAAGTTGTAGCAGTGCAGACTCAGGTGTTGAGATGGGGCCAGCCACAGTCATCCTAGACCAGGACATGCAGACATATGCTGTCGGAGATGTCACTGACAGTTTATATGAGACACTTGATGACTTTTCTCCTGAGGAAAAAATCTGCGGAAAACCAAAGCCTGATTCTGTCATCAAGGAACCTCCGGCAGCAAGATCTCGATCAGTGACTGCTGAGAAAAAGTCACCATATCATGCTACCACCTTGTTGAGCAAGGCAGACGTGAAGAAGAGCACCATCTGTCCCCCACAGAGCACCAGCCTAGATGATGATGATCCCAACAGTTTTTGCATCTCATTCGGTGATAGCTCCACTCTAGAGGGTCTCAACTCAATGTCCTTATTGAATGATGTACTTCGAGACTGTGGCAGCATGAATGACTACTCCGCCAAAGACTTTGAGTCTAAAGATCCCAGAAGAGAAACCACGAAGGTGAAGAAATCATCAGACTTTGAAACCAGAATGGCAACAGTTGCCGCAACTTTGGATTTAACCAAACAGCAGCGATCAAAACGGCAGATTCCACGGCCGCCTGTTTCTCCTCCCCCAGAACCAGTGTTATCCCAGGTTGTGTCTCCTAAGAAAGTCAGCCGAACAGACTCAGTCATCACCACAGTATCAGTAGTGGGAAAACCAGGCGTTGGCTTGACCTCCCAACAAGAAGATTCTGTCAAACATATCCAACCAACTACAGCTGCCGGTGGAGTAGAAGATGCTGGAACATTTCCTGAGAACACTGATAGCCTGAACTCTCCAACTGTTGCTGAAAGTAAGCAGAAAAAAGGCTTATCTTCATTCTTCAGAAATATCTTAAGGAAAGGAAAAGGATCATCAGAGAATTTAGAAGCAATGAACTCAGAATCACAGCTGGGTTCCAGACTGGAGAGGAAGAGTTCCAGTGTTTTTGGGAGTGTTGAGGAAACAGAGGAAGACCCAGCATCATCATCTGTTGATGGAAGTCAGCTGCTTCATTTGGGTCCTCAAGGGAAATGTGTATTCACCCCGCCAACATCACCTGCACCTCAGCAACGTTGTGAAATCTCGGGTAGTAGAGGCGGCGAGGCCAGCATTAATGGTAACAATGGAACTGTGAAAGGTGAGGTTGAAGTTCATCTGTCTCCGCAGTCAACAGCATCCTCAGATGGCATCTCAGCTTCCCTGACAACTGCTGCAGCCAGTCCTCCTATCCAGCGTAAGATCAGTAAAGGGCTTGCTAGTCCCAAGATGATGCTGAAGAGAGCCACAGCCAAGTTTTCCCCGCCGACGTGTCGTCAAACCGGCAGCAAATCACAAGATAAAGAACAAGAAAAAACTGCACTAGCATCATCATCATCATCAGCCAAACCAAATCCAGCTCCCAAACCTGCTGTTCCACCTCCAGTGAAGCCTGCTGCAAGCACTGATGCTCCACCACCGGCTGCAGCAGGCAATGCTAAAGATGCAGACAGTGCTGCCAAAGACAAGGAGTCCTCTCCTACACCCAGTATTGTCCGAAGGCGAGCTGCAAGTCCCAAGCGTGCGGTGCCACCGGTGCCTCCCACCAGGACATCCATTGTGACTGGTAAGTGAGTCAGTCAGTGAGTAATCCACTTGTGAATAAGGCACCAAGTTAACCAGTCAGTTATTGGGACACTCTGCTTCTTCTTCTTCTTCTTCTCCAAGTTCATGCCGTGTGGTGTTGGTGGTCATGTCTATCCACAACCTTCTGTCTCGTTTGCTTTCAATCAACTCTGACACAGATGATCTTCCATGTCATGTCAAACCGTCCAGGATCTGTTCTCTTAATCTCCCTCTGCCTCCCCTCCAACTTTCCTACCATCACAATGTACTCCAGTTTTCCCCTTCTCATTAAATGACTGAAAAAAGTAGATTGTCTCTTCCTGGTGTGGACAATCAGTTCTCTTCCTGAGTCAGTTTCTTTCAAGACATCTTCATTACTCTTTTTATCTGTCCAGGGTATTCTTATCATTCATCTATAAAACCGCATCTCCAAATAAGTTTAAACTAATAACTAACTGTCCATGTTTTCACATCCTTATATCAGTCTAGGATTTATATAGTATTTAAAACTGCTATTTCTCATCTCAACTGACAAAGAAAGATTGCATAAAATGATCTTCATTTTGTAAACTGCTGCCTTTGCTTGAGCTCTTTAACATTAAACTTCCTTAATAAATCTTCCATCTGATGTTATCAGGGAACCCAAGTGCTTAAACATACCAACTTGCTTGAGGTTTGTCCTGTTTACTTTAATATTGCATGTTGGAGGGTCAGTTTGCTTTGTAATTACCAATACTGCTGTTTTTCTGCTGTTTAAACTGAGACCCGTATTTTCACTTTCTGTTGCAATTATGTCTGTAATTTCTTGCAGTTGTGTTTAATTTTTAGCGATCAACACTATATAGTCATCATATCGCAGGTTGTTAACAATATGCCTAGCAGCCGCTATTCCTGGCAAACCAACCATGTATGGATCTCATTGTTACTTAGTTGAGTTGAGTCAAGAAATGACATCACAGCACTCGGAGCATTACTTTGCATGCTCCGTCCTCATCTTCAGCAGCCAGCGCAGAGTTCCAATACCTATCGGACCAGTCACAATCTCGCTAAATGTCCATCTTGCCTTTCCTCTGAGTGTAGTCAGCTGGCCAGACCGTATGCTTACACCCAGGTGCTTCATTCTCTCCAGGCCATAATAATCTTCTTTCTCTACTGATTCTGTTGCTTGTCCCCAAAGGGCCTTGACCACATCTACCTTGTCATGTAACAGTTCACCACCCAGTGATGCAGATCCAACCAATCTGTCTGCCTGTTTTTTTCCTACCATGCCGGCATGCCAGGAGAAAAGATCCAAAGTATGCTCACCACCCGTGACCTTTCCAGTGATGCTTGCCACTCTGCTCAAAGCATCCCAGTCTTCACCTTTTTCAGCATTCTTTCAGAGTCTGTTACAATTACAGCATGTCTGTGCATCTTGTTCTCTAGCCGGAGAGCTGCAGTTACCGCCTCTACCTCTATTCTCATGCTAGATGCCTTTCCTCTCAACACTGAACCATCTGTATAGATAATCAGATCACCTGGGCATGAATTGTCGTGAATCAACCGTTGGACTTCAACCTCCTTGGCACCCGCTGGCCACTCTCTGCACACCCGGCCCAATTTGATCATAACCCTACACAGGGCAGACTTTTCCGCTGGATCCTCTGAATCACTCCTCTCCTCGCCAAATGTTCTGCAGCATGCATTCTTGTCTTATTGTGTCTTCTGCTTGAGCCATCCACGATTTTCCCCTTACCTGCAGCCAAAGCTTCATACAGAGGGTGTTCCCTGTCTGCAGCTACTCTGAGGTATGACTTAGCCTGCAGCACCTTTAGCCTATCTGCAACAGTCGGCAGTGCAAGGATGTATCGCATGCACACAATCGGGGTGTCTCTTGTACAACCCAGGATCACCCACATAGCTTCATTCTGTATGCGCTCCAGTTTCACAAGCTGACTTTTCGAGACAGTGAGTAACTCCGATCCATAATCAATCACTGTGATGATTAAGTGCTGGTAAAGTGTGAACAGCATTCTCTGCGCCATGTCCATCGCTGCCATAATCTTTAGTGCGTTTAGACTTTTTTGAACACTTATCACAACCCCCTCTATGTGATCCTTGAAAACAAACTTCTGTCAAAGGTGATACCCAGGTACCGCAGTAGGCTGTCTCTTTTGAAGTCCCTGCCATTTATTTTGAGTCTGGGAACATCAGCTCTAACAATCCTGTTGTCTAAAGAACACCACAGGACGGTTGCCTTTTCTGAGTTGATAACAGCACTCATCTCTGTACTCCAGTCAACCACCTTATCTACTGTTGCCTTCACTGTACAAATTGAATAGATCGGGTGATTGTAGACATCCCTGTCTAACAGCTTGTTTAAGGGGATAGTGAGCTTTGAAATTAGGCAGCGAGGGAGTGAATTTGCCATTTTGTGTCAGTGAGCTGTTTTGTCTGTACGTGTATGAGACACTGAGTGAATTAATGAGTTGTTGGGTCAGTCAGTTTGCCAGTAGAGTCAGCACGTATGTGGCACTGAATGAATCAGTGAATTGTTGGCAGAACATCTCATGATAGAACATATCCTGATACTTATTTTATGATGAACTGACTTGGAAGCTGAAATAAAATATTTTTGGAAAAATTAAAAATGTCTGCTTCAAAGGAGATTTAAACATGTGACCATTAAGCCAACAGGCAAGTGTGCTAACTACTGTACTTGTGCAGCTGCCGTATGAAGAGTGCATTAATGATAAACTTCTAAATGTAGGATGGGGTGCTCAAAGGTGTCTTGTCTGTTGTCAGTAACTATCAAGGCTAGGTAATCTGATCTTCTGTGAACTGGTGACCAAGATGGTCATTGCCTCTATTTCAGGTAAATCAGCATCTTTGGACGGAAGAAACTTGGATATGGCCAAGGAGCTGGAGCGGAGGCCCAGTGAGACAGCCACTGAGCAGCTTGGTGTGTTCATTTTGGTGTTTTCTCTTGATGGCCTAGATATAGATGCTAGGTTTTCATGCTCATTGACATATCATTATGGCCATCAGCCTGTTTGTGTGTGTATATATTATCATGTCTTGATCAGATATGACTCAACTACTGTAAAACAGTAGCCGGTACTACCTGTTAATGCTAAATGTTAGGCAGGGTATACCAGATCTGATGTCCCACATTGTGTCGCCATGCCATGGTGTTTAACTGTACAGCGTTTTCTCTCTCAGTCTCTCTCTGATTCTTTCTCCCCCAAATTTCTCACACTCCTGTTGTACTCCAGATTTCACCTTCTCTGGACATGACAAAAAACGCAGATTATCTCTTGATAGATGTGGGTAATCAGTTCTCTTTCGTGAGTCAGTTTCTTTCGCTACATCTTAATTACTATTTGTATCTGTCTAGGGTGTTTTTATCATTCATCTGTGAAACCACATTTCTGTCGCTTACACATATTAACCATAACTTGAGGTGGCCAACCATCTTAGTCACCTTTTGTGTCATGCTTGAAAGGGTACATTGTTGCTATCATCTGTTTTCTTTGTTTCTTTCTGCAATGTTGTCTCTAGTATGAACATCACTGTCTGCTGTAATTCAGTCAGCAACCTGGTGTTTCTCCTTGCCTAAAGTTTTGTCTTGATATGTTGTATCTGGGAGGGCATTGCAGGACCGGATCTGTTGTCTCAGGTACTGATCAACATGTACACATGGCTGATTCGCCAATCTTGAATTCTGTGTATATGTGGCTGTGAAGTCGATTGTGTCCTGTTCTTAGGCGTAGAATAGTGACTTGCTCTGGTCTGTCCATGAATAGTGACTTGCTCTGGTCTGTCCATGAATAGTGACTTGCTCTGGTCTGTCCATGAATAGTGACTTGCTCTGGTCTGTTCATGAATAGTGACTTGCTCTGGTCTGTCCATGAATAGTGACTTGCTCTGGTCTGTCCATGAATAGTGACTTGCTCTGGTCTGTCCATGAATAGTGACTTGCTCTGCTCTGTCCATTATATGCTAATCATCTGTTGCTGGTTTATAATATAATGTTTTCTGTGTCATCCAAAGCTTTGTATAACAGGCAGTATACATTTTGTTTTAAAGTAGAGACAGGGAACCAAAAAAAAGAACTGCTTACCTCAAATCATGCGGCAACATGTTATATGAACAGGCTTAACACATCACATACCAACAACAGTATCCACAAGTGAATTTTTGTCAATTTCTTACGATGTACATTATGTTGCATGTATGTTCAGTTGTCCTTGAAGTTTTTCTCTTTTCCTATCTAGGATTCATAGATGGAGCATCCTTGACCAAGTACGATCCTGCACGTGAACCTGCACGACGGTCAATGCCAGTACCTCCATCACCTCCCTGTGACAGGAAGGAAAGGTCAGGAGCTGTGTCACCGTCTGTTTCTCCTATCCCTGACACAGAAAACTCATTCCCGTCATCGCCAGCCTCGCCCACTGCAGCCATATTTGACTTCCCTAGTGTGGAGTGGTCAGGTGGATCTTCATCAACCATTGACGACGACCTGCCAAAGTTCAGTGAAAAAATTGAACTGCCAACTGTAGCCACACAAAGTCGTAAAGGATTTCTTGGCAAACTGGGAGGAAACCGCAAAATGAAAACTCTGCAGCCTGCACCAGTTAAACGAGCTAAATCTATCACAGAGTCATCTACCTTACCCAGGGGAGATAAGAAAGGCAAGAAGATTAATGTAGCTGATATCTCTGGACCAGTGGTGAGTTGTCTTCTCTTCAGATTTAAATATCCTACAAATAAAAGGCTAATGATAGTCTTATAGGAAATACTGTAGGTCAAGTTTTAGATATGAACACATACTATAGGTCAAGTGTCAGATGTGAACACATACTGTAGGTCAAGTGTCATATGTGAACACATACTGTAGGTCAAGTGTCAGATGTGAATACATACTGTAGGTCAAGTGTCAGATATGAACACATACTGTAGGTCAAGTGTCAGATGTGAATACATACTGTAGGTCAAGTGTCAGATATGAACACATACTGTAGGTCAAGTGTCATATGTGAACACATACTGTAGGTCAAGTGTCAGATGTGAATACATACTGTAGGTCAAGTGTCAGATGTGAACACATACTGTAGGTAAAGTGTGAGATGTGAACACATACTCTAGGTCAAGTGTCAGAAGTGAACACATACTGTAGGTCAAGTGTCAAATATGAATACATACTGTAGGTCAAGTGTCAGATGTGAACACATACTGTAGGTAAAGTGTGAGATGTGAACACATACTGTAGGTCAAGTGTCAGATATGAACACATACTGTAGGTAAAGTGTGAGATGTGAACACATACTGTAGGTCAAGTGTCAGAAGTGAACACATACTGTAGGTCAATATTCAGATATGAATACATACTGTAGGTCAAGTGTCAGATGTGAACACATACTGTAGGTCAAGTGTCAGATATGAACACATACTGTAGGTAAAGTGTGAGATGTGAACACATACTGTAGGTCAAGTGTCAGAAGTGAACACATACTGTAGGTCAAGTGTCAGATATGAAACCCTGACATATTTTAGAGCCCAACATCTCAGAGAGCCGGCCACCTGTCTCCTCAACTGTCCCTCCGTCCCAGACAACTGACTGCACATTGTCAGCTACCCATTTGTTATAAGGTTGGCTTGACCCCAGAGCTGTTCTGGGAGAAGTCTTGTTCCAGAAGCTGATTTTTGCCTGGACATCTGTTTTACAGATCCAGCTTATTTGTATGCAGACTGTTGGTGCCTTGCCTCTCAGGGAGATGCACTCTGACTTTGAAGGAAACACCTCTATTTAGTCAACTTTTGCAACATGCTTGTTGGGGGGCAGTGGGCTTATTACCCCCCCCCCCCTCCCCCCCGTCCCCATTCCCGTGGCCCCTGAACACACATGGGGAGTACACTTAAAGTCAACATTTTTGTCTTAATGAGGCTTGTTTTAAAATTTGTCATAAACGCAGGGACAGTTGTGTGTGTGTGTGTGTTGGTTGTTTCCTCTGTATGTTTCATCATCATCATCATCATGAGGTGCCGTGCCGACTAGTGTAGACAGTCCTGTTTCATAAGGACATCTTAAAAAACTCAATTCCACAGCTGACACAGTTGTATGCCATGATACAGTTCTGGAATCTTCTCCAGATGTCATCCTGTGTTTCTCATTATAAAACATTCTTCTATAGATGTCATCCTGTATCTCTCAGAAACTCCAGACGGATCTCTAGAACAAAGGATGACACACAAAGTGAATCAACTAGACAAACTTCAGATGGATCTCTAGAGCAAAAAATGACAAACAAAGTGAATCAACCAGCTAAACTATAGAGCAAAGGATGACACACAAAGTGAATCAACCAGACAAACTCCAGACGGATCTCTAGAACAAAATATGACACACAAAGTGAATCAACCAGACAGATCTCTAGAACAAAAGATGACACACAAAGTGAATCAACCAGACAAACTCCAGACGGATCTCTAGAACAAAGAAGGACACAGAAAAAGAATCAACCAGACAGATCTCTAGAACAAAAGATGACACACAAAGTGAATCAACCAGACAGATGTCTAGAACAAAGGATAACACACAAAGTGAATCAACCAGACAGATGTCTAGAACAAAGGATGACACACAAAGTGAATCAACCAGACAAACTATAGAGCAAAGGATGACACAAAGTGAATCAACCAGACAAACTCCAGACGGATCTCTAGAACAAAGGATGACACACAAAGTGAATAAACCAGACGGATCTCTAGAACAAAGGATGACACACAAAGTGAATCAACCAGACAGATCTCTAGAACAAAAGATGACACACAAAGTGAATCAACCAGACAGATGTCTAGAACAAAGGATGACACACAAAGTGAATCAACCAGACAGATGTCTAGAACAAAGGATGACACACAATGTGAATCAACCAGACAGATGTCTAGAACAAAGGATGACACACAAAGTGAATCAACCAGACAGATGTCTAGAACAAAGGATGACACACAATGTGAATCAACCAGACAGATGTCTAGAACAAAGGATGACACACAAAGTGAATCAACCAGACAGATGTCTAGAACAAAAGATGACACACAAAGTGAATCAACCAGACAGATGTCTAGAACAAAAGATGACACACAAAGTGAATCAACCAGACAGATGTCTAGAACAAAGGATGACACACAAAGTGAATCAACCAGACAGATGTCTAGAACAAAGGATGACACACAAAGTGAATCAACCAGACAAACTATAGAGCAAAGGATGACACAAAGTGAATCAACCAGACAAACTCCAGACGGATCTCTAGAACAAAGGATGACACACAAAGTGAATAAACCAGACGGATCTCTAGAACAAAGGATGACACACAAAGTGAATCAACCAGACAGATCTCTAGAACAAAGGAGGACACACAAAGTGAATCAACCAGACAGATGTCTAGAACAAAGGATGACACACAAAGTGAATCAACCAGACAGATGTCTAGAACAAAGGAGGACACACAAAGTGAATCAACCAGACAGATGTCTAGAACAAAGGATGACACACAAAGTGAATCAACCAGACAGATGTCTAGAACAAAGGATGACACACAAAGTGAATCAACCAGACAGATCTCTAGAACAAAGGATGACACACAAAGTGAATCAACCAGACAGATCTCTAGAACAAAGGATGACACACAAAGTGAATCAACCAGACAGATCTCTAGAACAAAGGATGACCACAAAAAGTGAATCAACCAGACAGATCTCTAGAACAAAGGATGACACACAAAGTGAATCAACCAGACAGATCTCTAGAACAAAGGATGACACACAAAGTGAATCAACCAGACAGATCTCTAGAACAAAGGATGACACACAAAGTGAATCAACCAGACAGATCTCTAGAACAAAGGATGACACACAAAGTGAATCAACCAGACAGATCTCTAGAACAAAGGATGACACACAATGTGAATCAACCAGACAGATCTCTAGAACAAAGGATGACACACAAAGTGAATCAACCAGACAGATCTCTAGAACAAAGGATGACACACAAAGTGAATCAACCAGACAGATCTCTAGAACAAAGGATAACACACAAAGTGAATCAACCAGACAGATGTCTAGAACAAAGGAGGACACACAAAGTGAATCAACCAGACAGATGTCTAGAACAAAGGATGACACACAAAGTGAATCAACCAGACAGATCTCTAGAACAAAGGAGGACACACAAAGTGAATCAACCAGACAGATGTCTAGAACAAAGGATGACACACAAAGTGAATCAACCAGACAGATCTCTAGAACAAAGGATGACACACAAAGTGAATCAACCAGACAGATCTCTAGAACAAAGGATGACACACAAAGTGAATCAACCAGACAGATCTCTAGAACAAAGGATGACACACAAAGTGATCAACCAGACAGATCAGAACAAATGACACACAAAAGTGAATCCACCAGACAGATCTCTAGAACAAAGGATGACACACACAAAGTGAATCAACCAGACAGATCTCTAGAACAAAGGATGACACACAAAGTGAATCAACCAGACAGATCTCTAGAACAAAGGATGACACACAATGTGAATCAACCAGACAGATCTCTAGAACAAAGGATAACACACAAAGTGAATCAACCAGACAGATCTCTAGAACAAAGGATGACACACAAAGTGAATCAACCAGACAGATCTCTAGAACACACAAAGGATCAACCAGACCAGACAGATCTCTAGAACAAAGGATGACACACAAAGTGAATCAACCAGACAGATCTCTAGAACAAAGGATGACACACAAAGTGAATCAACCAGACAGATCTCTAGAACAAAGGATAACACACAAAGTGAATCAACCAGACAGTTCTCTAGAACAAAGGATGACACACAAAGTGAATCAACCAGACAGATCTCTAGAACAAAGGATAACACACAAAGTGAATCAACCAGACAGATCTCTAGAACAAAGGATGACACACAAAGTGAATCAACCAGACAGATCTCTAGAACAAAGGATAACACACAAAGTGAATCAACCAGACAGATCTCTAGAACAAAGGATAACACACAAAGTAAATCAACCAGACAGATCTCTAGAACAAAGGATAACACACAAAGTGAATCAACCAGACAGATCTCTAGAACAAAGGAGGACACACAAAGTGAATCAACCAGACAGATCTCTAGAACAAAGGATGACACACAATGTGAATCAACCAGACAGATCTCTAGAACAAAGGATAACACACAAAGTGAATCAACCAGACAGATCTCTAGAACAAAGGATGACACACAAAGTGAATCAACCAGACAGATCTCTAGAACAAAGGATGACACACAAATTCTCCGTTATAACAAGATACTAGTCAAGCGTGCTGAAAGTCTAGGGGGTTTAATGTGTACATTTAACAAAAAACTTAATTGGGATCAGAATAACGGATAACCCTTGTCATGTCATACTGTTGGATCAGAATAACGGATAACCCTTGCCATGTTATACTGTTGGATCAGAATAACCGATAACCCTTGTCATGTCATACTGTTGGATCAGAATAACCGATAACCCTTGCCATGTCATACTGTTGGATCAGAATAACCGATAACCCTTGTCATGTCATACTGTTGGATCAGAATAACCGATAACCCTTGCCATGTCATACTGTTGGATCAGAATAACCGATAACCCTTGTCATGTCATACTGTTGGATCAGAATAACCGATAACCCTTGTCATGTCATACTGTTGGATCAGAATAACCGATAACCCTTGTCATGTCATACTGTTGGATCAGAATAACCGATAACCCTTGTCATGTCATACTGTTGGATCAGAATAACCGATAATTCTTGTCATGTCATACTGTTGGATCAGAATAACCGATAACCCTTGTCATGTCATACTGTTGGATCAGAATAACCGATAACCCTTGTCATGTCATACTGTTGGATCAGAATAACCGATAACCCTTGTCATGTCATACTGTTGGATCAGAATAACCGATAACCCTTGTCATGTCATACTGTTGGATCAGAATAACCTATAACCCTTGTCATGTCATACTGTTGGATCAGAATAACCGATAACCCTTCTCATGTCATACTGTTGGATCAGAATAACCGATAACCCTTGTCATGTCCTACTGTTGGATCAGAATAACCGATAACCCTTGTCATGTCCTACTGTTGGATCAGAATAACCGATAACCCTTGTCATGTCCTACTGTTGGATCAGAATAACCGATAACCCTTGTCATGTCATACTGTTGGATCAGAATAACCGATAACCCTTGTCATGTCATACTGTTGGATCAGAATAACCGATAACCCTTGTCATGTCATACTGTTGGATCAGAATAACCGATAACCCTTGTCATGTCATACTGTTGGATCAGAATAACCGATAACCCTTGTCATGTCATACTGTTGGATCAGAATAACCGATAACCCTTGTCATGTCATACTGTTGGATCAGAATAACCGATAACCCTTATCATGTCATACTGTTGGATCAGAATAACCGATAACCCTTGTCATGTCATACTGTTAGATCAGAATAACCGATAACCCTTATCATGTCATACTGTTAGATCAGAATAACGGATAACCCTTGTCATGTCATACTGTTGGATCAGAATAACCTATAACCCTTATCATGTCATACTGTTGGATCAGAATAACCGATAACCCTTGTCATGTCATACTGTTGGATCAGAATAACCGATTACCCTTGTCATGTCATACTGTTGGATCAGAATAACCGATAACCCTTGTCATGTCATACTGTTGGATCAGAATAACCGATAACCCTTGTCATGTCATACTGTTGGATCAGAATAACCGATAACCCTTGTCATGTCATACTGTTGGATCAGAATAACCGATAACCCTTGTCATGTCATACTGTTAGATCAGAATAACCGATAACCCTTGTCATGTCATACTGTTGGATCAGAATAACCGATAACCCTTGTCATGTCATACTGTTGGATCAGAATAACCGATAACCCTTGTCATGTCATACTGTTGGATCAGAATAACCGATAACCCTTGTCATGTCATACTGTTGGATCAGAATAACCGATAACCCTTGTCATGTCATACTGTTGGATCAGAATAACCGATAACCCTTGTCATGTCATACTGTTGGATCAGAATAACCGATAACCCTTGTCATGTCATACTGTTGGATCAGAATAACCGATAACCCTTGTCATGTCATACTGTTGGATCAGAATAACCGATAACCCTTGTCATGTCATACTGTTGGATCAGAATAACCGATAACCCTTATCATGTCATACTGTTGGATCAGAATAACCGATAACCCTTGTCATGTCATACTGTTGGATCAGAATAACCGATAACCCTTGTCATGTCATACTGTTGGATCAGAATAACCAATAACCCTTGTCATGTCCTACTGTTGGATCAGAATAACCGATAACCCTTGTCATGTCATACTGTTGGATCAGAATAACCGATAACCCTTGTCATGTCATACTGTTGGATCAGAATAACCGATAACCCTTGTCATGTCATACTGTTGGATCAGAATAACCGATAACCCTTGTCATGTCATACTGTTGGATCAGAATAACCGATAACCCTTATCATGTCATACTTTTGGATCAGAATAACCGATAACCCTTATCATGTCATACTGTTGGATCAGAATAACCGATAACCCTTGCCATGTCATACTGTTGGATCAGAATAACCGATAACCCTTGCCATGTCATACTGTTGGATCAGAATAACCGATAACCCTTGTCATGTCATACTGTTGGATCAGAATAACCGATAACCCTTCTCATGTCATACTGTTGGATCAGAATAACCGATAACCCTTCTCATGTCATACTGTTGGATCAGAATAACCGATAACCCTTATCATGTCATACTGTTGGATCAGAATAACCGATAACCCTTGTCATGTCATACTGTTGGATCAGAATAACCGATAACCCTTGTCATGTCATACTGTTGGATCAGAATAACCGATAACCCTTATCATGTCATACTGTTGGATCAGAATAACCGATAACCCTTATCATGTCATACTGTTGGATCAGAATAACCGATAACCCTTGTCATGTCATACTGTTGGATCAGAATAACCTATAACCCTTGCCATGTCATACTGTTGGATCAGAATAACCGATAACCCCTGTCATGTCATACTGTTGCTGGCCCCTGGGCATATAAAGGAGGTCAGTGTCATGTTTGCCAAGGTTCACCTGGTCAACAAATACCAGAGGAAAAAAAGCTACAATTGTCAGCTGAAACATTTTAAACCGACACACTGCAAACGGGCACACTGCAGACATACTGCAAACAGTTGGAAGAAATTAATGAACATAGGAGTAGAAGGGTTCGGTGATAGATTATGGGCTTTGAATGCTTACCACATCAAGGAGTCAGCTAATGAATCGAATGCATACAGAATGAAGCCATGCAGATAATTCTGGGATGTACAAGAGATACCCAGGTAGTATGTGTGCGATATATATTATCACTGCCTGCTATTGCAGATAGGCTCAGAGTTTTGCAGGCAGAGTCATATCTCACAGTAGCTCCAGATAAGAAACACCTCCTGCATGAAGCCTTGGGTAGAGCTAAAGGTCACAGACTGAAAAGAGGAAGGTCTTGGATGGCAGATAAGAAACACCTCCTGCATGAAGCCTTGGGTAGAGCTAAAGGTCACAGACTGAAAAGAGGAAGGTCTTGGATGGCAGATAAGAAACACCTCCTGCATGAAGCCTTGGGTAGAGCTAAAGGTCACAGACTGAAAAGAGGAAGGTCTTGGATGGCACAGTTGGACATGTGTGCAGGCTTGAAAAATTTGGGTGATTAGAGGAGTGGGTCAAGGTGTCCGGTTAGGTTTCACATTTGTGTAGGGTTCAAATCACTTTAGGATGTGAGTGCAGGGACTGGCCAGCTGGTGCTACAGAATCAGAAGTTCAACAAATGATTCATGACAATTCCCGCCCAGGTGATGTGATTATCTATACAGATGGCTCTGTGTTGAGAGGCAGAGTAAGTGCATGGGGGTTCATAGCAAAAGTGAACGGATGTGGCTTAGTGCAGCAAAGCCTGGAATATGATATCACAATGTATAGCCTTCCACTGGCTTGAGAATCAGCTGTACACACATGTCGTCATTGTAACTGGCTTACAGAGCATGTGGAGAGAGGTGGAGACAGGCATGCTGCATGCAGATTGGCAAGCATCACTTCAGAGGTCCTGGGGAGTTAGCGTCCTTTTGATATTTTCTCCAGGTCATGCTGTTGTGTGGGAAATGAGCAGGCAGATAGACTGGCCGGTTCTGGACCACTTGGTGGTGAACTGGTATATAACAAGCTAGATATTGAGCCGTGGCAAACTGTGTTGCTTCTGGCAGACGGTGGCCGGTGCATTTTTATTCCATTTGTAGACTGAAAGGATAGTTTTGACCCCCAGCTTCTGAGTTGACTGCATGGCATGACACTGTGAGCTGCTGATTTCATTTGGAATGCTTTTCTATTTTGACCAACGTGGTGGTGTGAATTGTAGATTTTAAAAATGGCGCGATGCCTGTTGTCGCAATATTGGTGGTGCCATTATGTGATTAAAATTGATCGTGTGTGCAACTGCTGATCTGTTGGTGACTTCTGCTACCATCCATGATGAACTGCATTTCTAATGTTGGACTGTTTGTGTTAGCACTTCGGATGGCTACCGTATGCTTTGAATGTGTGTGTATGCTAGTGCACATGCGGAGACAGCAGTCTGTCAATCTTTCCACAAGAAATACACTTTCTGTTACTTGATTAATCTTTCCACAAGGGACTGTGATAAACATTCTGTATGTTTTTAGTTGGCACTGGAGTGACCTGTTTTCTATGAAGCTGAAACTAAGATTACCAGATTCCTAATTCATGAAACAAAGAGACTTAATATCAGAGTTACTGTTATAGGATTGCTGTGTAATGATCAGGTCTGTGTTTGTTGTACCCAGATGGTGACAGACATCACAAACTCCAGAGTGCTGGGCAGTCGGAGAAATACCATTTCTCTGGGAAGTGATCCTGCTTTTGCTATGTGTAAGTAGATTATGGGGTGTGTAAGAATGTAGAGGTGTGTAAGTAGATAAAGAAGTGTGTAAGAATGTAGAGGTGTGTAAGTAAATGTTCAACTATATCAGAGGACATAAATAAACACAAAAAAAGATCCTGTTTTTCTCTCTCTCTCTCTTGAGCTCCCTCTCTCTTTCTCATTTTCTTACCCCCTCCCCTTTTTTTCTCTTTCCTTTCCTTGTCTCTGTCTCAAAGAGAAACACTCATCAGTAATAACAGATGTAATCATTGACATCATACTACACCAGACATACCATAGATGCTCCATCTCCCGCAGCAAATGTCTTAAGGTGTAGATACTAACTCTTAAAAAACACACACGTGTGCACACATACATTTTTTTAATTTGTGTTTTCCTGTTAATATTCACTCACCTCTTGAACACAGAAACACAGGCCCCCTCCCCCCCCCCCCCCCCCCCCTCCATTTCCCATTTTTTATGACACACAGTGTCTCTGTCTCTTTTCCTCTTTCTCTCTCTTTCTTTCAATCTCATTTTCTCTTTCTCTCTACCCTCTCTCTTTCTCACTACAGTGTCTGCGAGCTCTATGAACACAGCAAAACACCCCCCTACCACCTCCATTTTTGTCTCTTTATTTCTGTCTGTCCTCCCCCACCCCCACCCATTTTTACTCACATACTGTATCATATCTGGATGTTCACCCATTCTCCGTCTGTCTGTTTCTCTCTCACACATGCATGCACATACACATGCACACTCACATATATATATATATATATATATATATATATATATATATATATATATATATATATATATATATATATATATATATATATATATATATATATATATATATATATATATATATATATGTCTGTCTCTCTTTTCATGCACACACGCACACACACACACACAGACACAGATAATGTATCAGATCTGGATGTTTATCTACCTCTATTAACAGTGTCAGCAAGCACCATGAACCCAGCCAACAGCACCTCCTCAGCTTCCATAGACAAGAGCAGCTTCGATGAGTTTGACATTCCAATGCTGTCACCTCTGGGATCCCTGGAGAATCTGTACGAATCAATCCTGCCAAAACCTGAGGGCAGCTTCTTCCACTATTACGACCCTCCGACTGTCCCCAAGATGTTGTGTCCGAACATCCCCGCTGACGGATATCTGGAGCCAGTCCCACCATTGTCATCTACCACAGCAGTATCAACATCATTGACTTCAGGACTTTCATCCTCGATGGTGACTGCTGCAAGTCTACAGACATCATCGTCATCGTTATTAACTTCTACAACAGCTGCCAATTTGTCCATCAACAAGTCTCCCTTAAAATCCAAAACATCTGTCAGTAGATTTGACAGGTCGGTCACCACCCTGCCACGGTGTTCCAAAGATTATGGTTCATCTTACACTGCTCAAATATCTACAAGTTCCAGCGAGACCAGTTCAGCAGAAAACTCTGGGAGTTCCTTGCCAGATTCAGCACTGGTGCTGAAGAACATCTCTGATGCTCTGTCAGCGGCAACAGTTGGAGGCACTTCTGTGGGCTTGCCTGCAGGGTTGGGGCCAGGTTTTGTGGAGCCAGAGATGACAGAGCATAGACGGACGCTTTTGGCATCTCAACCAATTTATGAAGAGATTCCCAATGGAGGAGGTGACGTGAAAGCCGGCTATGAAGACAACTCCATTAGCTCTAAACAGGGAAAAAGACAAACTAAAGGCGCAGGGTTGAAGGTAGATGTGACTTCAAAAAAAGTAACTAGTTCTGAAAACATTTTAGCTGTACAAAAAGCATTGCTTCAGGCTGTGGGATCTTCGGCAGATAAAAGCAAGACCGGCTTTTCCTGGATGCAGCAGTCACATGTGGCCGAGTCAGCGAGTTCAGGATCGTTGTCCCCGACCCCAGCTGGTTTCCCCACACCTAAGGTGGCAACCTCACCTTCTCACGTTCCATCTAAGTATAACCAGGCTACAACTTCAGTATCACTGTCATTGTCCACTTCCATGACGTCATCTCAGATTATGTCGGTGTCATCCATCATGACGACTTCCTTGACGTCAAGCATGTTGCCTCCACCCCCACCACCACCAGACCACTTGCCAGCACCACATCCTTCAACCAGCAGATCCGCATCCCGGGAGACAGTGTCCTCAGAGTCCGATGCCCAGTCCACCTGCAGCACATTCTCCAGGCCTAGACCTGCCCCCAGAGTGAAACCCAGGAGACCTTACACTGGGTCTGGCGATCAGTACATCTCCATGAACAGACCAAATACTCAGGTAGTGACCCCTATCCCTGCTACTGGACTTTTCTTGGATATAACTCTGGTAGAACTTCCTTAGCGGTGGCATTGCTGCTGCTTCTGTACTTTCATCCAATGTAATGCTGGGAGTATTTCCTTAATTGTGGCATTGCTGCTGCTCCTGTACTTATCCTGCACTTTGGTACCGAGTCTCTGTATCCTGCACTGTAGTATTGGTTTTGTCTGTCCTGCACTGTGGTACTGGTTCTGTCTGTCCCACACTGTGGTACTGAGTCTGTCTGTTCTGCACTGTGGTACTGGGTCTGTCTGTCCTGCACTGTGGTACTGGGTCTGTCTGTCCTGCACTGTGGTACTGGGTCTGTCTGTCCTGCACTGTAGTACTGGATTTCTCTATCCTGCACTGTGTACTGAGTCTGTCTGTCCTACCCTGTGGTACTGGGTATTTCTGTTCTGTACTGTGGTACTGGGTCTGTCTGTCATTCAGTGTGGTACTGGGTCTGGCTGTCTGTCCTGATCTGTGGTAAATAGTATTTCTGTTCTGTACTGTGGTACTGGGTCTGTCTATTTTGCACTGTAGTATTGGTTCTGATCTCACATGTGAAGCTTTGGTTTCTGCCTACAGGTATCTCTCAGTGAGGACAGGCTGCGGGATGTCTTCACCAAGCTGACCAACATCACATTCCACGCCCTGCAGGACATCTATGCCCAGTGTGAGCGCCTCCTGTCTGTGGACCGGCTCAACATTGCAGCCTCCAAACTGTTGAAGTGGTCAGACTTTGACATCTATGGCCAGCCCCTGCATGCCTCGGGACGATGTGTGGTCTACAATGCCAAGCTGCGCTCTAACAGCTGTCCATGTCATGTGTCTGTGACCCCTGTGTGTCTGATCCTACACGCTAGACCAGCCACAGAGATGTGCTCCACCTGTCACCCCAGCCTACTGCGACCCTCTGCTGTGTTTGCAGACACCATCCCCTTTTCCTACCTGACCCCAGACTTTATTAAAACCTCCCAGTTGCTGCAGAACTCTGTCTATGACTCCAGCCAGGCCAAGTGCTTTGTGGCTGTCGGTGAGTACACCTGGCTCCTGGAAGGGGGGTGGTTGTTGTGTGTGTGTGTATGTATTTATACATAAAGCATACAGAACACATGCGATACATCCTTGGTTTGCCGACTGTTGCAGGTAGGCACAAGGTGTTGCAGGGGAAGTCATATCTTAGGGTAGCTACAGACACAGACCACCTTTTGCACGAAGCTCTGGATGCAGTTATGGGTCAGCGGCTGATAAGAGGGAAGACATGGATGGCTCAGACAGAAGACACAATCAGACAGGTTTGCATCCTTGAGAACATTAGTCGAGGAGAGGAGTGGGTCAAAGTGCCACCTGAACAGTCAGACTTGTGTAGAGTCATAATCACGCTGAGCCGGGAATGCAGAGACTGGCCAGCAGGTGCCACAGAGGTGGAAATTCAGCAGTTAATTCAAGATATTGCTCGCTCAGAGGATTTGATCATTTACACAGACGGTTCAGTGTCAAGAGGCAAAAGAAGTGCTTGGGGTTTCTTAGCAAAAGTTAATGGTCGATGCTTGGTGCAGGAGAGTCTGGCATATGATACCACAGCATCCAGCTTAAGAATGGAGGTGGAGGCGGTCACTGCGGCTTTCTGCTGGCTAGAGAACACGACACACACACAAATTGTTATTGTAACTGACTCTGAAAGCATGCTGAGAAAGATTCAGGATAGGCATGCTTCGTGCAGAGTGGCATGCCTCACTGAGGAAGGCACGGGGGAGGAGCATTGTCTAGATTTTTTCACCACGGCATGCCGGTGTGTTGAGAAATGAACAGGCAAACGGACTGCTGCACAGCTTGGTGGAATACTGATGCATGATAGGGCAGACGTGGTTAGTGCCTTGTGGGAGAGCGTGTACAGTTCAGAGGAGCAGATGGATCACCACGGTCTGGTGAGATTGATGCAAAGGGGGGGGGGGGGAGTGACGAAAGGTTCTTGCGCTCGAGGCTCAGAGGAAAGGCAAGACGGACGTTTAACAGAATTCTAATGGCACCATTAGTATCGAAACTCCTCGTCGCTGGCTGCTGAAGATGGGGACGGAGCGCTTATGGGAATGCTCCGAGCGCTGTGATGTCAGTTCTTAAATGAAATCAAATCAGAACACACAGATTTCTCATTTTATGAGTACTTTATAAAAGAAGAGGGCAAAGATGTAGGGAAGATAGAATGAATGAAAGAGATCATCAGGTAATTAATTCAGAAGTCAATGACAAATAAAAAGTAGGAGTGGGCTAGGAAGACACAATTATTTCTATTGTGGGTGCAAACAAAGGGGATTAATCTGGGGGCTAGCAGTTGTCTATGTGGCAGAGAGAGAGAGAGAGAGAGTGGAACAGAGAGAGAAAGATGGGGAGGGGGGAGGGAGGTTGTCAATGGTTAAGAATTATATCAAGATAACCTGGCAGACTTTTGTTAAACATAGAAAGTAGGATGTGTAAAGAGAATGAGAGAAGTGGTTGTGTGTGTGAGATTACAATAAAATAGTATAAGATGTCTGTGTGTTTGAGATTACACTAAAATAGTGTAAGATGTCTGTGTGTGTGTGAGAGATTACACTAAAATAGTGTAAGATGTCTGTGTGTGTGTGTGTGTGTGTGTGTGTGTGTGTGTGTGTGTGTGTGAGATTACACTAAAATAGTGTAAGATGTCTGTGTGTGTGTGTGTGTGTGAGAGAGATTACACTAAAATAGTGTAAGATGTCTGTGTGTGTGAGATTACACTAAAATAGTGTAAGATGTCTGTGTGTGTGAGAGATTACACTAAAATAGTGTAAGATGTCTGTGTGTGTGAGAGAGATTACAATAAAATAGTGTAAGATGTCTGTGTGTGTGTGAGAGATTACAATAAAATAGTGTAAGATGTCTGTGTGTGTGAGATTACACTAAAATAGTGTAAGATGTCTGTGTGTGTGAGATTACACTAAAATAGTGTAAGATGTCTGTGTGTGTGAGATTACACTAAAATAGTG